TTTTTTTTTTTTTTTTTTTGGCAGAACCAGGGATTGAACTCAGGCCCTTGTGCTTGCCAGGCAAGCACTTATTCTACTGAGCCATCTCCCAGGTCAGTTCCTCTATTTCCTGTGACTTTCAAGAGACAATCTATGACTGGAGCCAGCAGAAGCCACCAAGTAGCTATCGTTGTGGACATCCTCCCCAGAGGAGGATGAGTCAGTCCCTCAGATGATCCGGGCTGATCCTTATCAGAACAGCCTGTGTTTACCGGGTGCTCACCAGTTGCTGGACATTGCTCTAAGCACTTGGTGCACACTGAATAACTCAGCCTCCAAGCAGCTCTACCGGGTAGCGACTGTTGTATGCCCACTTTACAGGTGTGGAGGCTGTAGCCCAGGGCACCTCAGTGACTTGCCTGGATCAGTTTCATGGGTTTCGTCCTCAGGGAGAGAGCTTGCTTCTTGCCAGAAAGGCTTTTCACGGTGTCGTACAGTACGTCCAGCTGGGGGTGGGCAGCATACACCCCCTCCAGGATTTTCGTGAACTGCTCGGTTACCAGCACATTCTGTAGCAGGGACAAATGGACCCATGGCGAGGACGCTGCCATCCTGTTACCTCCCTGTCCATCCAGACAACCCCCCCACCCCAAGTTCCTAAGTTGTATCTTTTTTGGTTTGTTCTGCACCGAGGCTCCTCTGTTGGGGGTAGTTCTAATGCCTTGGAGCTTGTGGGTCTGTCTGTGCGCTTCCTACCCGATTTTGACCAGGTATGTACTGTGAGTGCCGGCAGGTTGTCACATGCTGCCAGCTCAGCTCTGATCTCCAGGCAAGACCAAGTACCTATATCCAATGGACAAGTAGGACTCAGAGCTGAGGGGCCAGCCCTCCAATACGTGCCCTGACGTGAACATTAGGACATGAGTGGAATCCGTCAGCATGGGTGCCAGGGAGAAGAGCCCGCCTTCCAACCATCCTGCCATGGCTCAGACGAACACGAGCTCCCCTTTGGACGAGCTGCGGAGCTGGTCGTGGGGGAAAGGTCTTCTGTGCAACAGCATTTGGCCAAACCTGGCTTGTGCCAGTGTGACCAGCTGTGTCAACCTCTTGTGAGGTTCTGAGTACATTTTGCCTTCTCAAAGAATTAGACTCACACTTGTAGGATGAAGACTACAGCCATCCTGAAGAAGGTGCCAGGAGGAAGCAGGGATTCCAACATGGGGTAACTGGGTGACGGGGCCCCTGGGGGGAGTTGATATAGTTCTCTAAGACTTCAGTTACAAAGGAGCAAGACTGACCCTTTCCTGGTCTTTGTCTTGTTGTCACATGACCATACCTTCATGCATGTTCCCGCTGCAGCCTGCCATAAAGTGACACAGTCAGGGTAGAGATCACTTACGGAAATGTCAAGCTCTTCCATCTTAGACTTGGGGTTCTTCTTGATGGACTGGACAAGTAAAATGGCCCCATCCATACTTATAGGGTTCAGGAAGAGCTGTGGGATGAAAGGCAAGACAAGAAGAGGCTTAAAGCACAGCTTGAACTTTTGCCTATCAAGTAATATCTTTCTTGAAGACTTCTCCATATGTACCAAGGCTGGAGATATAGCTCAGTGGCATAAGCGCCTGCCTGGCAAGTGTAAGGTCCTGAGTTCAATCCCTGGTACTGAAAAAAAAAAAAGAAAGAAAGAAAAAAGAAAGAAAAGAAAAAGAAAAAGACAAAAAAGACTTATGTACCTGTGTCTCTGTTGATCCATTAACTCATCACTCTACTTTCATCCATCTACCCATTCATCTGCCCATCCACCCCATCCATCTGCCTATCCATTCCCATCCATCTGCCCATCCACCCTCAACTATCCCCCATCCATCCATCATCCATCTCCATCTGCCTTCCATCTATCCACCCATCTGCCCATCCATCCACCCATCCATCTGCCCATCCATCCATCCATCCATCCATCCATCCATC